ATCTTGGCCCTCTGTTGTTTAATTTGTTCATCAATGATCTTCCCCAAGTCTTAACTCATTCCCGAGAACTTATGTACATGGACGATGTGAAGTTATGTTTCTCCTATAGCGTCCCCGCGTACCCTTTATGTGTCCAATCCGATCTTGACGCCCTCAAATTTAACGTCAAGACATTCCATCGCAGCAAGCCTTTTTGACTACAATATTCACAACTGTTCCTTAAAACGCCTTTACAAAATTACTGACTTGGGAATTATCTTTGTACCTAATCTGTGCTATAACACATCCACACATCCGCGATTTCGAATAAAGCCAGAGGCTTCCTTGGCTTCATGGTCTAAGGAGTTCACCGAACCTTATACCACTAAAATTTTATTTGTATCCTTTGTCCGGCCTATCCTTGAATATGGTTCCTGCGTTTTGTCTCCGCATTATGATTGAGTCCGTTCAAAAAAGGTTTCCCCTTTTTTCACTTCGTGGCCTTAATTCGGACCCCTCTAGACATCTTCCTTCTGAACAAAATCTTGTTTATATAAACACTAGCTGACCCGGCGAACTTCGTCTCGCCCCAATTTAACACCCTTCAGATAAACTTCAGAGTGATAATAAAACAAAGATATGTAGTTTCAATTTCAAGAATCGAAATCAGCTATTCATTGAAGAACCTTGGAATATACTACATTTTTTTTTTCATGCGCAAAACAAATAGAGCGGATGATTTGCCGACATCTGAACATGCCACGTACAACTGGCCATGATAAAAACATGTCTTTTCTAGGTATAGACCACAAACAGTCAAGGATTGGCCTTGTGATTTATTGGCGAAGGCAAGACGAATCGGGAACTGAATTCGTTTAAACTCAATAGGTATATATTTTTGGATCATTGGAATCCTCGGAATTAGGACTAACTCATCTTTAAATTTTCCTTTGAGTATCGCGTGAATCAAATTACTCATCAGTTTTCTTATCACCAATCGCGTTTCATTGCATAGTTTATGGTAGGTTTAGATTTCGAAACATGATGACTACCGAGCCCACCTTCAGTTCTAAATTGAGCACATCCAAGGAGTTTAAAAATTCAGTAGGATAATTAGTTGCTTCATCTTCGTTTGTTACACAGTCAATAGATTTGAATAATTACAGTGTACCAACGATTTGATTCTGAATTTTAATGTTTAATCCATTCACTTCTGTATTCTTAGCCGCCAAAATTGCACGCTCGCCTTACCATTTGTTATTTTTGTGGTTATCAATAATGAATTGAAATCACTCTGCGGAATCAATACTGTGGCTCAGGTGCTGCCAAGTTATGGTTTAAAGCAATTAGCACGAAAGAAAAAAAAACAAACCCTGTATATCAGTGGGAACCGCGAGCAAAGAGATTACAGCTAATGGGCGTAACTGTGCAGCTGTGCGAGCTGTCCGATTCCACTTTGCATGCGCTTATGTGTATTGGTGAGTTCACTGAACTACCCACTGCACTGCACTGATAGAATTTTCGCAACACGGGGAAAGGAGTAACCAGCAATGTAGTTAGTGTGGTTGTTCTGACACCGAATTGGGCTCAAAGCGCCGAGAAACTGCTAAGGCTTGCGATTGTTGAACCCAAAAATGATTGTTCAATTGGTTGCCACTGCAATTCATATGATCACGTCGGTGTCCCCAATTTTTAAAAATCCCTAATCGGGCGAATAATTTTTTCGAATAAATAAGAACCCAGCAAAGACGTAACATTCAAATGTATGTTCTTTAATGCCATCAAAATTGCAAGTAGTCTTGCTTTCCCTTTGCATTGCAGATCCGATTGCTGAGCGCAGATTCGCTCAGCATAGATAAGCTGCGTAGAGTCTTAGATAACGTAGAGCGAACTTCGAGAGAGCGCTTAGAAGGGCAATCAAGTACAAAGCTGAAGCGAACATAATCAGGCAGGCTCCGGTTTTCACATTCACTTTGCGTTTTACTTTTCAGCAAAAAGTCATACTTTTCATTTCAAGGCGCTCTGGAATCCACTTTTGTGAATTTGCTTATTCTTTGTACTCTTAAGCACCAAATTTACTGCTGTTATACCCACGCGTTAGTGCCAGCTCACACAAAAAGGCCTCTGTTATGTTTAACCGAGATTTATCGATAGCCAAATCGGGCTGCCACATCTGTTCGTAGCAAATCACTACTTTTTGTTACCCTGGCCAATTTTTCAGATCTTAATTTGATGTTGGTTTAAATAAAAATTATTTATAAGCACAAACTTAATTGCACTGTTAATGATGTCAAATTCATGTTAATGCATCATTGAGTCATCTATTTTTTTACACCCGTACCCAAAAAGAGTTAAGGGGTATATTGTATTTGTGGTAAAAGTGGATGTGTGCAACGCAGAGAAGAAAACGTTTCCGACCCCATAAAGTATATTATATACTCAATATATTCTTGATCAGCATCAATAGCCGAGTCGATATATCCATATCTGTCTGTCCTTCCGTCTTGATGAGCGCCTAGATCTCGGAGACTATAAAAGCTAGAGCAACCAAATTTTTTTTCCAGACTCATGTTATCACACTGCTACAATTGTATTTCAAAATTTCGCCCCGCCCCCGTAAAGAACGAACTTCTGTGGCAGGCACAATTTTGAAGATACGATAAAACTAAAAACAGCATCGTAGAGAATGACCATATCTTCCAGATTGCCGAATCTGAATCAGATCAGATCATAATTATAGCCAGAATAAACATTGTAGATGTAGATAAAAACTTTAAAAAGTGAAATTTTTTAAAATTCTACATAAATCATAAGCTCAATAAATTATATACTGACTGAGTACGGGTATAAGTAGAGTCCCTAGAAGCGACTCACACGTTTCTTCTCGTTTTTTTTAAGGTTCATTATGTAGGTTTATTGTAAACAATTATCACAGACTATAAAGTACAATTACTTAACGTACTGATACTGTTGATTAGCAACTTTTGTTAAGGGTCAGGGACAATTTCTATTTACTATTTTAAGTTAAATTCGGGACCAACGGACGACAACGGAGATTGTGCAATAGGAAATTATATGTTCCTGGTGGCCAAGGCGGACGGATGGATGCGGTTTAACCTTCGCCTGGTTCTGCAACTTACCAATCTTCTAGCGTTCGGGTGGCTCACAAGTTCTGTCAAGGGCCAACTGCGTTGACGACGCCACTGAAAACCTCCAGCGGTACCTTAAATGTTTTGAGAACTGGGCATGTAGGTGGGAATATCAGTGTGGACCCTGAGAAGTGTGTGGTAGTGACACACACGCTTAGGAAAGGAACGTGCCCTGAGCTCTTTCTTCATGGCGAGATGTTGGAGCAGCGGTAGGAACATAAGTATCTGGGAATCACGATGGACACCCGCCTGACCTTTGCCAGCCACACAAGTATGGTCAGAAGCGCTTTGGAAAGCAAGGCTAGAAAACTCTACTGGTTTCTTAAGCCAAACAACAAGCTCAGCCTGGCCAACAAGATCCGCATATATAAGGTCTATGGTGTCGCAGCGAAAACGAACCTGGACAGGATATTTGTGTTTCAGAACAAGACCCTCCAAAAGATCTCTGGTGCTGAATGGTATGTCCGTAATAGAGACATCGCCAAAAACCTTGGAGTTCCCTCAGTCGGTGACATTATTAACGAGAAAGCCACAAGATACCTGATCAAACTGAATAATAACAAAGAATTTAGTAGCACACAAAACATATGCGGCTGAGGGCTAATAATGACATTTGTCTGTTGTTGTTCAAATTTTGGCTTAGTCAAATGTACAAAGATTGCAAGTTTTTAGTTCGAGACTGTTTTGTACGCCGACAACGAATGCCGATTCTACTAGAAATTTGACTAGTTACAACCGTGTTTCACTTTCTATATGTGAAATGTGTGTTTAAGAGTTGTATTAACCAAATCTCCAGCTACAGAACAGATGTTTTGAAAATAACCGAGACAGAAAGAACTTGAACTCAGTTGTTTTAAAAATCTGTGACACCCCCGAATATAAGTTAAATTTTTTGATTGTACATACCTTATAAATAATATATTATTATATTAATTATATTATTATATTAATTATATTATTATATTAATTATATTATTATATTAATTATATTATTATAGTTATTATATTATTATATTTATTATATTATTATTCTTTATTATAATATATTATTATAGTTATTATATTATTATTATCCATTAAATTATATTATATTATTATAAATTACATATTTATACCCGTACTCAAAAAGAGTAAATGGATATATTAGATTTGTGGTAAAAGTTGATGTGTGTAACGCAGTAAAGGAAAGGTTTCCGTCCGACCCCAAAAAGTATATATATTCTTCATCAGCATCAATAGCCATGTCTGTCTGTCCGTCCGTCCGTCCGTCCGTCCGTCCGTCCGCCCGCCCGTCTTGTTTGTCGCCTATATCTCAGAAACTATAAGATCTAGAGCAACCAAATTTTGTTTCCAGATTCATGTGATATCACAGTGCTACAAGTGTATTTCGCCCGCTCCCTTCCGCCCCCGCAAAGGACGAAAATCTGTGGCAGGCACAATTTTAAAGATACGCTAAAACTAAATGAGAATGACCATATCTACCAGATTGTCGAATCTTAATCGAATCATAATTATAGCCAGAATTTTCAGTTGCTTCCCCCGCCTCCTACCGCAAGAGACCCGCTACTCATTCTCTTTCTTGCTCGCACACGCTGCCGCGTTATGTACGCGAGTGCCCGGTGGCGGAGGAGATGTAGAATCTAAATGGTACATGTATAATCTACATGTTAGATGTATAATATACATAGTAGATGCAGCAATTTTTTTAATTCTAAAATTCTACATAAATCATAAGCTCATAAATTTATATACTGACTGAGTACGTGTATAAAAGTGAAGTCGCGTCCACAGAAGCGACTCACACGTTCCTTCTGGTTTCACAATAAGTATTAATATAATGAAAATTAAATAATATTTAAATCAATTTTACAGCGCTACTCATAAAAAATATCCAATGTGATTTTAGCTTGTCAAAAGCATTTGGATCCGTTAATATCCTTAAAGTGGTCGAAAAGGTTTCTCTAAATGCGGTACTTGAAGACGATTTCTGCACCCTATCTGCCCTTCACACTGTCGAGCAATGCTTGAAATATTATCCAAGGAGTCTTAAATCTGGAAAATCTGCAATTGAAAATTTCTTGATAAAATTATTAGACAGCACTAATCTTGATATTGTCTCTCAAACCGGTGAATGCTGGCTCTTATTACAAAAAGTACGCGGTTCTCCCAGTAATGGAGTTGAAAATGATAAAAATCAATGGCGAGATTACCAAATGACTTTATTGGGGAGTCTTTATTCAATTATAAACAAGACATTTCCAATATCTGAGAAAATATTTGTGGGTGCAGCTGTGGCAAATCCCTTCGAACATTTTAAAATGCATTTGACAGAAGATCCAGTAAAACGAGCTGCACAAGTTTGTCAGCGGTTTTGCAATCTTGTCGATTTCTTAAAGATTGCCTTGAGGTGAGGAGAACCGATATTTTAGAATATATGCGTAAATGTTTTTTCTTTCTCAAAATATTTTCTTTGTAGCAATCCGTTCCCTGACAAGAAGCTAATTTTTACACAACAAATTTTGTGTTTTATACAACGTGGATTATATGTGAAAATAAATAATACAAATAATCCTAAAATGGATTATGTATGTTTTAAAGCATTGTTACCGCAAATGAACATTAAGTTGTTGGAGCTTCTAGAAGTTTTGATTGACATGTAAGTCTATATAATATAATCAGTCTAAAATGTATACTAGGCTGGGCCAAAAATTGATCAATTTTTTTTTGTCCTATTTTGGTTTTTTTTAGTAAATAAAATTATACAATATTTTTAGTTTTATGTTTGCGGGTTGCTACCACGAAAAGAAAATACCTTTTTTGTTAAATATACATTACAAAAAAATTGAATTCGTCTTTTTTTTCAAATATTATTGACACTTAATTCTAAACTAGTTCGTATTGATAAGGTATTTTTTTTTATACCCGTACTCAAAAAAGAGTTAAGGGGTATATTAGATTTGTGGTAAAAGTGGATGTGTGTAACGCAGAGAAGGAAACGTTTCCGACCCCATAAAGTATATATATTCTTCATCAGCATCAATAGCCGAGTCGATAGAGCCATGTCTGTCTGTCCGTCCGTCCGTCTTGTTTGACGCCTGGATCTCAGAGACTATAAAAGCTAGAGGAACCAAATTTTGTGTACAGACTCATATGATATCACACTGCTACAAGTGTATTTCAAAATTTCGCCCGCTCCCTTCCGCCCCCGCAAAGGACGAAAATCTGTGGCAGCCACAATTTTGAAGATACGAGAAAACTAAAAAGACAGTATCGTAATGAATGGCCATATCTACCAGATTTCCGAATCTGAATCAGATCGGATTATTGTTACAGTTAGAGTAAAGAAATTAGTTTTCAGATGCTTCCCCCGCCTCCTCCAGCAAGATACCACGCTACTCATTCTCTTCATCGCTCGCACACTCTGCCTTGTTATGTACGCGAGTGCCCTCTAGCGGAGGAGATGTAGAATCTAAATGGTACATGTAAAATCTAAATTTTATATGTAGAATATACATTGTACAGATGTAGCAAAAAAATTTAAAATGTAAAATTTTTTTAATTCTAAATTTGTTAGTGCAAGCCATGCCATTTGGCTATCATTAAAAAACAGCAAGCAATTTGGTGCACGCGTTGCAGAGATAGGTTACACACAGATTTTTTTTCTACAAATTTATAGAATAGATATATTTATATTGGGCTAACGACATAAGTCCGCGCGACATATCTCCGCCCATACATTTTCCGCGCGGAGATATGACGAAAAAATCGTTTTTGAAACGACATATGTGTGTCCGCGCAGAATTTAGCGGAGATATGTCGTTTTTAAGACCACGCGGAGATATGACGCCAAACTCCGAGCGGAGATATGTCGCGCGTAGATATGTCGCGCGTAGATATGTCGCGCGTAGATATGTCGCTATGCCTTTATATATTTATGTTTATTATTATTTTTTTTTTTTTCTGTATAAGATTAGGTTAGGTAAGGTGGAGGCGGTTGTCGGGATCGCCAGGAACCCGACACACTTGGGCCGGTTACGGCCCGTTGTGATACCGCGTGGATCATGTCCTCTTCCCTTGTGAGACACTTTGTCAGCAGTAGTCCCATCTGGATGCCCTTGTGAAGTTTGCGATCATTCTTGGACTCATAGCAGACATGTCTGATACGTCGTACATGAAACGCATTACCACGTATTGTAGCCTCCTACTGAGAGCCGGACAGGAGCAGACTAGGTGTTCCACCGTTTCTTCCTCGTCCTCACTCTACAGCTACGACAGAAGTCGTTGTAGGGGGTACCCAGCCTGTTAGCATGGGTGCCTATTAGCAAATGTCCTGTGAGGGAGCTTATGACTGAGCTGCACCTTTTTCTATTGAGCTTGCAGAGCTCAGTGGTGCGCTTCTTTGTGATACTAGGCCATGTTTGCCGAGTTATGCGACATTGCGGTACAGTTTGCCACCTATTGCCTGTTAGTAGCTTGAAGTTCTCTTTTATAATGTGCTTACAAATGTCCTCCTTATCTTGGAGAAGGGGGATTGTAGTACCAGTTCTGCAGTTGCCTTCAATGTCCTTTTGGCCCGGGACCCATATTATGCTAATAACAAACTGAAGAGCCATCTCGTGGAGAGATTTGCGACAGTTTGCTACGGTAGCCGAGCTCGTTGTTATCGCATTAAGCGATTTGATTGCCGTAGTGGCAATTTCACAAAGCCAACTCAAAGCTTCGTTGATCGCTATGACTTCCGCTTGGAAGACCCTTTTTTTTTTTTTTACAATTTGAAATGTGTATTTATTTTGAAAAAACAAGCTTACTGCTACCTATTATGGCAGCTTAATCAGGTTATACATTTAGGGGAAAAAACAAACTAATTTTCACGGTGTGAAAATGATATATACAGGAAATTTTCTTACATATTACATACATATTTACATTTTACAATTTAACTGTACAATATTAGGAATGAAATTTAGTTATGGGAGGATTCTAGTAGGGAGATCCAGTGGATGGCACCTTTTAAGTCGTCCCTTTCTTGGATTATTTGTAAGACGTCTGGCTAGAGCGTTTGGGTGATCAGGAAGGCGTTGCAGATATTTCGTTGCGTGTTGTTGCATTACATCACCCACTTTAGGAACCCTTAGATCCCTTTCAATATCCTTATTGCGTATGTACTAGGGAGCATTACTTATTTTCCTTAATATTTTTGATTGTACAATTCTTATTTTGCTTAGATTGCTTTTAGCAGTAATTCCGTATATTTGGAGTGCATATTTCCATATGGGACTTAGTATGGACTGGTATATTGCCACTTTGCTACGTAGAGGTAGTTTGTTCCTGGGCGCAAGCAGCCACGCCATCTTTTCTGCCTTAGCCATAACCGACCTTTGAACCATAGTTGTATGGGTTTTGAAGTTAAGTCCCCTGTCCAATATGATACCTAGGTATTTATATGACCTCTTGTGCGAGAGGGTTGAGCCCAGCATCATTATGCCACTGCAGGATTGTGTCCTTTTAGTAAATGTGACGTTTGCGCATTTGTTGCTGTTTATGCCTATGTTCAATTTAAAAGCCCATTCCTCAAATCTGCGCACGTATTGCTGCAAGGCTTCGGTAGCTAGATTAATATTTGGACTTCTGGTCATCACTGCAGTGTCATCGGCGTAGGTTGCTATCAGCACATTGTCGTCCTCCAATCCGGCGATTGCACTTGAGGTAGGCATATCGGCTGTATATAGTGTGTATAGCGTGGGACCGAGAACGCTACCTTGTGGTACGCCTGCGCTAATTGGGCGTTTCGAGGATTTCACTCCGTCAACAACCACTCTGAAGCTTCTGTCTTTAAGGAAGCTACTTACCAGCGTGTAAAGTTGTGGTGTTAAAATGAACTTCAACTTAAAGAGCAGGCCATCATGCCATACCCTATCAAAAGCTTGCTGTATGTCCATGAATAGAGCAACTGCGTACATCTTTTGCTCCATTGCGTCCAGGGCGAAGTTGACCACACGGTGTAGTTGTTCTGGAGTACCATGGCCTTGTCGAAATCCGAACTGCCATTTCGGAATTGTTTGAACCACAGATTCAAGTTTTAGGATCCGGTTTAGGATCACCCTTTCCGTTATCTTCCCCATCGCTGAGAGGAGACTAATTGGCCTATATCCATCGACTTCCGTGTGATTTTTTTCTGGCTTTGGCACCATTGTAATTAACGAAGTCTTCCACCTATTTGGGAAGTGACCTATCCTAAGTATGCTGTTAAGGAGCAGAACTAAGAATAGCAGGGCTCTTTTAGGCAGTAGCTTTAGTGTTCTGTTGTCCAGAAGGTCCTCACCAGGGATTTTTTGGCTTTTGGATCCTTATTTGCTGTTCCACTTCTTGCAGTGTAACCGGGTTTGCTGGCAGGGACATTTGAAAAGGGAGCTCCAATCGTATCTCAACAGCCCTTCGTGTAACGGCTGACGTTAAGCTAAATGGCTTAAATCTTTCCTCTAAACTATCTGCAAAAGCTTCCGCCTTCTGCACACTGGAGTAACACCAGCCACCTGTCGGATCTTTAATTGGAGTCTTCGGGACAACGATTCTTTTAAAACGACTTGTAAGTTTCCAAAGGGTTTAGTTAAAGGATACGTCCGGGCCTGCACTACCCAATAAATCATCAATTTTTCTTTGCTTGATTTTTGCAAGTACCCTTTGTACTCGATTTGACAATCTTTTGTATATTTCATGGATACGAGTATCACCCGTTCTTACGTATTCTCTTCTCACTTTCCTTTTCAGCCGTAAGAGTGCATTCGCATTTGGAGAATGAATGGTTCATTCGCAATAGAAAATCTTATAATAACAGCTGAACCACTTTTTGAGGTTCCACTGGGATGATTGATTAGCGTAATATTGGTCGTATCCAGGCAGGTATACTTTCAGGCAAGGAGGCATGTGTGTCTCAGTTATCAATATTACATCTATCTCATTGGCACTAAGGAAAAGTCTGAGCTCTTCATTGCTTTTAACTAGTCCTCGTGCATTCCAAAATCCGATTTTTTATATTGGATTAGTCATTTCGAGATAAGCAATTGTACCAGGTCACGAAATGCTTTGTTAGCCTCCATTGTTTCCTGCATAAGTTTAAACATTTGGTCCATTCTGGAGTTTAGGTCACTTATGGCTTTTTCCAATATTTTAAATTTCCCACTTAACTGTTGATCTTTAGCTTCGTACGACCGGGAACTGTCCTGCTGGATGAGCCCGTTGTTATTTTTCTCTTGGCTTGCTCTTATCATGTCTGCATAGGAACAGCCACTCCTAACGATCGCATTTGAAATGAATTGTGTCGTGACTGGCTGGGTTTTATTTTTGTTATTACTTGGCAACCCATTTTCTGGTAGTCTTGCCATTGGTTTAAGTTTCTTACTCAGCTCTATTCTAACTTTACAGCCTTTAAAGCTAGATAGGTGGTCATCACCACAATCGGCACATATAGATTTTTCGACAAGACTTAGCTCACAGGACTTTGATCCAGTAGCGTGGTCACCTGAGCATTTGCCACAAACTGGCTTTTCAAGGCAGTAATTTCGCGTGTGCCCAAAGTCTTGGCATCTGAAGCATTGCACCAATTCTTTACCATGCTTTGCCTTCATCACCGTTACTCTGTGTCTTCCAATTTGAGTTATTTTAAGTGCCTCTGCAATATTTGGTGTCTTCTTAAGGTTAACGTAAAACATGTTTTGTCTTGTTTCTTGTTTCCTGGGACAATATATATTCAAGACTATGAAACCATTATCAGTGAATGTGCGTTCAATCAATTGCTATGGTACGTTGGGGTGTATATCTCGAATCACTAATCTGAACGGCGTATCCCTGGTGCCAAAACTCACAATTTTGTTTTGTCAGCGTATCAACAACTGCTCGAAATACGTTGGAGTTTTTTGCATAAATGCGCGAGACTCCAAATCTGGATGTGCGAATATTATACTCATTAGCTGGGATTACAGCATTGAGTACCTCTTCGAGTTTGTCCATTTTGTTTACTTGCGGCACGCATATGGCTGTTGGAAGACACTGCAGTGATCTGGAAGCCTGAAAGAGTGTCTTATGTTTAGCTGTTCGGAGTAGATTCCCCCACCGACCTTGTTGTCCAGTTTTGAGCCATCTGTGAAGAGTTGTATGGCTCCGTCTGGGCCAGGTGGTCCCTCGAGCCAGTTGTCTCTGTGGGGGATAATTTTTTCAAAAGGAATTTGTATGTACTATGTTCTCCCTCGGAACACAGTAGCCCATTTTTGTTGGGACGATCTCGTTTTCGTTTAGGATAGATGCGTGACCGGTGTGATGTGACACCTGCCTGCAAGGTCTAGGCTCTGGAGGCATAGGATGGCATTTAGCGCGTCATTTGGTGTGGTGCGTAGGGCTCCAGTGATGCATAGGGCGGCAGTTCGTTGTACCTTGCCCAGTTGTTTAGTGATGTTCTTTATTGACAGAGCAGGCCACCACACTGCGACTCCGTAGAGTAGTATTGGCCTAACTATTACTAGGTATATCAATTGGACTATGCTTGGGTTCATGCCCCATTTCAAGCCAATGGCCTTTTTCCAAGTGTAGAGGGCTATCGTGACCTTCTTCACTCTGGCTTTGATATTCAGGTTCCAACACAGCTTCTTGTCAATTAACAACCCTAAGTATCTGGCATTGTCGCTGAAGGAGAGCCTGCATCCTTTTAGTATTGGGGGGTTGAGAGGAGGAACTTTATATTTGGTTGTGAACAATACAAGTTCCGTTTTCGAGGGATTGACTCCCAGTCCACGTGACTTTGTCCATTCAGACAGTCGCGTGATCTTTGCAGTCATTAGATCGCAGTGTTTGAGGGAATTTTTCACCGAAGATGATGGCAACATCGTCCGGGTATGCCACCACTTTGCAGCCCCCACCCTTCCAGGTCGCACAGAATCTTGCGGGGTGCCTCTGTTGACATACCTTGACTGAGTGGACGATCCCATTGATGAAGTCACCGTCCTGCATGTAAGCAATTGATAAATGAGCATCACCATGTGACGATCCACCCCCAGGTCAGTCAGGGCCTCTGTGATGGCCTCTGGTATGACGTTGTTAAAAGCTCCCTCGATATCTAGGAAAGCTATTAAGGAGTATTCTTTGATGTGTAGGGATTTCTCTACCGTCGAGATTACTTCATGGAGTGCCGTTTCCGTGGATTTTCCCTTTCGGTAGGCATGTTGTGCGCCTGACAGCCACTGAGGATTTATGGTTGTTCTCAAATGTAGCCCGACTAGTCTCTCAAAGGTTTTGAGAAGAAAGGACGATATACTGATTGGTCTGAAGTTTTTTCGGGGTTGAGTGTGAGGCTTTCCCTGCTTTGGGGATAAAGACTATTTTAGAGTTAAGCCAGGCGTGAATTTTTTCCACTACCAGTATCTTCCTGAAGATGCATTGCAACCAGTTAATGGCTGTGTCTCCGGCTTATTGTAATTGTATTGTATTGATGTTCCTTTTTGTAAGGATGTGCGCCATCGATGTTGCCGGGCTGTTGGGGGGATCTGCCGGCTCGATGGTTGTGCACCCTGGAAAATGTGTATAGAGTAGAATGTGTAGGGATTCCTCACTAGAGTTAGTCCACGTACCATCCATTCTTTTGAGGTACCCCACCGAGGGGGTTGTTTTTGAGAGGATCTTACGGAGCCTTGCGGCTTCCGACGTCTCCTCAATGTCAGAGCAGAATTTGTGCCAAGAGGCTCTTTTTGCTCTCCTAGTTTCACTCTTATATAGGGCTAGCTTACTCTTGTAGTTTGCCCAGTGTTCCTCCTCGTTGTGACTTTTGGCTCTATTGAAAAGAGTCCTGCAGCTTTTACGTAGGATATCTATTTGTTTTAACCACCAGGGAGGTTTCTTTTTCCCCCTAGGTTTGGTTGAGGGGCATGCTGCCGTGAAGGATTTTTTGCATGCTTCCGTGAAATTGTCCACTAGACGATTAAGAACATCTTGAGTGTCCGGGCATTTTGGTGCTAAGGGGGAAGTAGTTCCCCCATTTTTTAACTATATATATCCCAGTTGGCTTTCCTGGAGTTTATGTAGTCAGTGGGTTTAGGATTTTCTAGAGAGGGGACTGTCTCGATATACCTATGATCAGAGAGGAGTGGTCCTCTAGGACTTTCCAACTCTTAGTTATGTCTGACAGTTTGTGAAACAGAAAAGTGAGGTCGATAACCTCCTGCCGGTTTTTTATAAGGATCGCTCCCCCGATTGCAAATAACCAGATTCGAGTTTAGGATGAAGCTGACTCACACCTTACATTTGTGTCCGAGCTCCCCCATTGAGTGTGGTGAGCGTTGGCGTCGCAGCCTATTATGAGGCCTCTTTTCGACATCTCGCTGTCGCTGGCTATCTTGCGAACGAGGTCACTTGGAGGATCGATTTCCTCGTGGGCCATGTATGACGACACCAGTCTTAGGTGTGTCCCCTGTATCTCTAGGCTAGCCGCAGTGTTGTCGCCGTTGCTAAAATTGTGGAGCAGAAAGATATTTAGGTGTCTTTTTGCAAGTATGCAGGTACGAGTTTTACCTTCCGTTTCGGCAGCGGTAAGCTTGTAGTCCTTCGTCGCTAATCCACAGACCTGGCCTCCTACCACCCAAGGCAACTGGATTAGGACTACGTCGACTCCGCTTGAAACCAAGCGTTCCTGTTCCGGCCCCAGCTCGTCATCGGGTGCTTCGATCTCCGAGGCCACCTCCTGCTCGACTGGCTTGTCAACAGGACGGGCCTCGAGCCTCGCTGCGTCCGACTTGTACACCTTGATGTTGACCGAGCTGACGCCGAAGTTCAGCTCACTCTTAGCGGCCTCGATCGGGGCCAGCGACCCCTTGCTGAGGATGACCACTACTTGGTTTGTGGGGCCCTGTGTCGCCTCAACTTTCACTACCTTCCAGTCCTCGGTAGGAAGGTGTGGATTGTATCGCTGCAGCATCTTGAGGATGCGCTCCGGCTCCTTTATTGAGGCGGGCACGTAAATAAACTACTGGGCACTTCGCTCCAGTCTACCGCGACGAGCTTCGCCCCTGGGTAGACCTCTCCGACTTGCGCTACCGCTGCTTTGACAGCTGTACGGAGCGCTCGTCTTCGCAGGCTACTATCTTTGTGTTTCCCTGGAACCATCCCATGTCCTTACAGACTGGGGGTGGGCCAGGGTCCTTCTCCAGCAGCTCGAAGCAGCGGTCGGCCAATTCCGCTTCCACTCACTTTCACTGGTTTCTTGGAATCCTTCTATCTCCACTGCCTCTATCCCGGACACCAATAAGTGTCCTTTTTTTGGCAATCTGTGCTAAGGATATATTTTCCAGGACCCTTGAGCGCTTTGCAGCAGGTCCTGGCGTCTCCTGGGAGCGTTGCCTTTTAGGCTGAGGAACCTCCCTTGGTGGCTTCATGCTGAAGTCTGGGTCTCTCTTCATCTATCTTTCTCTCGCTTGCATTAGGGCACGGGCAATTCGGCCCGCCTGCCCTTAGCAGGAGTCTTGACGTAGCACTCGCACCTGACACATCGTCGCCTAAACGACCAGGCATATTAGCAATAAACAAACATATATGTTTTTTTTTTTGTATTCAGTTCTTTATTTATGCTACACTTAAATTAAATTGTTGATGTTAGGGTCTCATACAGTATTTGGGCAATGATAGGACAAGGCTGCGCGGTACTGCCGCAAAGCATTGCTTCGCACACCCCTTCCGTCTCGGGCACACGGGAAATTCGGCCCGCCTACCCTTAGCAGGAGTCTTGACGTAGCACTCGCACCTGACACATCGTCCCCTTAACGACCAGGCATATTAGCAATAAACAAACATATATGTACATTAATCTGTTCGTGACGTTTTCTTGTAAATAAAGTTGATACATTTGGTATCCTCCTCTAAACAGCATCATTAGAACAGGGGGCTGCCAAGTCCCTGAGCTCTCCGTTCCCGACTGGTCCAGTTTTTATACCGGGCCCCCAGCCAGGCTGATTCTTGGCACGGGTCGAGTGACACCTTAGTCCGGTCCGGTGTGAGGTGAGTGTTGGGGTTATGGTGAGGGCTGGTAGTGTGTAGGGATGAGAGCGTGAGAGCTACTTATGAGAGACGGCACCACAAGCGCATCGTCAGTATTGCTGCTTCACGAACAACCGCTTGCTGTCCGGGACTGCTTATTTTCGGTACTCTCCCTCAGAGCCAACCTAGTTGCTTCTCTTTGGGATGCCCGCTTATTCACAGCTGACCTACCTTCGCTATCCGCAACCTGCGACCCGTCTGGTGGGCCCCCTCAGAGCCCAATAGTTCATCGGATTAATACGATAAAGATTAATAAGATTTTTTTCTGAGCCACCTCAGAGCCCAATAGGTTCATCGGATTAATAAGATTAAGATTAATACGATTTTTTTCTGAGAAACATACTCCAACTTTATAAAACAAAAGTCACTTCCTTTGACTGTACACTACTGTATAATTATTTGATTATTATTATTTGTTTCAAGATGTCACACCCATCTCAGGATGCATTTTCGCATTATATTGAGTATTTTATTGGATTCGCTTGAAAGGACCAAATTGCTTTTAAAGGAAGGAAACAAACTACAATTTGTGTAAGTCATAATTTATACATTTAAATACATTAATAAATTAAGTTTTATTTGTATGTTTTTTTCTTTTAACTTTTACATAAAACCAACTTCTTTATATGTTAGGCTGGGCCAAAATTTGATCAAAATTTTTATACCCGTACTCGAAATAAGTTAAGGGGTATATTAGATTTGTGGTAAAAGTGGATGTGTGTAACGACAAGAAAGGAAACGTTTCCGACCCCATAAAGTATATATATTCTTGATTAACATCAATAGCCTCGTCGATAGAGCCATGTCCGTCTGTCTGTTTGTCTGTAAGTTTGGTTGAACGCCTAGATCTCAGAGACTATAAGAGCTAGGGCAACCAAATTTGGTTTCCAGACTCATGTGATATCCCACTGCTACAAGTGTATTTCAAAATTTCGCCCCAACAAAGGACGAAAATCTGTGGCAGGCACATTTTTAAAGATACGATAAAACTAAAAACGCATTATCGTAGAGAATGCCCATATCTACCAGACTGCCGAATCTGAATCAGATCGGATCATAATTATAGCCAGAATTAAGAAATTAATTTTCAGTCGCTTCCCCTGCCCCCTCCAGCTCACGACAACGCAACGCAACTCATTTTCCTTCTCGCTCGCACACTCTGCCGCGTTCAGTGCGCGAGCAACCCCTAGCGGAGGAGATGTAGAATATGAATGGAAAATGTACAATCTACATGTTAGATGTAGAATAGACATTGTATATGTAGATGTAGATAGCAGATGTAGCAAAAAAATGTAAAATGTAAAATTTTTTTTTTATACCCGTACTCAAAAAAGAGTTAAGGGGTATATTCGATTTGTGGTAAAAGTGGATGTGTGCAACGCAGAGAAGGACACGTTTCCGACCCCATAAAGTATATATATTCTTGATCAGCATCAATAGCCGAGTCGATAGAGCCATGTCTGTCTATCCGTCTGTCCGTCTGTCTGTCTGTCTGTCTGTCTGTCCGTCTGTCTGTCTGTCTCTCACGATGAGCGCCTAGATCTCAGAGACTATAAGAGCTAGAAAACCAAATTTTGTTTCCAGATTCTTGTGATATCACACTGCTACAAGTGTATTTCAAAATTTCGGCCCACCCCTTTCCGCCTTCACAAAGGTGCGAATCTGAATCAGTTCGATTATTATTATAGCCTGAATAAGGAAATTAATTTGATGTTGCTGCCCCCACCTCCTCCGGCGCTATTGACGCTACTGACCTATGCAATGCAAGACCTTTGTGGAAATGTAGAATCTACATTGTGTATGTATAATTTACATTTTATATGTTGAATCGACATTGTAAATGCAGATGTAGATAACAGATGTAATGTAAAATATTTTTAAATTCTACATAAATCATAAGCTCACAAATTTATATACTGAGTGAGTACGTGTATAAAAGTAGAGTCGCATCCAAATAAGCGACTCACACGTTCCTTCTCGTTTACTCTTAACAATATATGGGAAAATAAAAACATATGGATGACAAAAATTTTCTAAATACAGAGTACTTAAAAACGATAAGTAAGCATTTTGGTTGACAACGTAAAGCGCAAAATGTGAAAATCGAAGCCTGCCTGAATTTAGCGCTTGTAAGTCTGATTTAGAATAATTTTTTTGTGCATGGAGTCTTAAGTACAAAGTACATGAACTTGTATTGAACCAGTAAAAAAACTATCGTTTTGCACGGCCCTAACTGCGATGAAAATGCCACTTTGTTCTAACATATTACTTGATCAGGGGTGACGTTGATAGCCTTGACTTGTTGGACCCGCCCATCGAACTGTGCCCGAATCCTTGTAGCGACATGTTGATTACTGCGACTAGGCGTTGTGCTGCCTTTGCTACAATCAGTTGAGCGTGGATGTCCAGGGGGTCGACTCCGAGTATTGTGTGATGCAGAGCAGTGGCAGCCGCTGAGAGTTCTCCATTAGCTTGTTGTATGTCTTCTTTTCCGTAGCCTGCCACCACACTAAGACTCCATACAGCAGAGTCGGCACCACCGAAATGTAGCTCTAGTATATTAGATAGAGAATTTATTTTTTTTTTTTGTATGTATAGGATGGAAAAGCATTGAAAGCCGATAAGTGTGGGACTTGGAAGTACCTCACCCACTAAAAACCCCCCTACTCTCCGTATCCCTCTCGTGGTACGACCGGTAAGTATTACTTCACGAGGGGAGATGGCATGAAAGCCGTCACTTGATCCTATCTAGGATTTGAATTTCGATTGCGCTGTCCCTCAGCGCGATGCAAGGATTGGATGGTCTCTGCAGCGTAGGTGCTCACGGCATCCCAATTGTTTTGCGAGCTAAGTAGGATATCCATTATGTCATTGACTATAAATGGCCTCCCAATGTCTAGGCTTAGCTCTTCCCAATCAGCAGAGAATCTTGGACAGACAAAAAATACATGTTCAGCGTGGTCTATGGTCCGTGCACAGTGTGTGCAAAACGGATCCGACTCGCATTTAAATCTATGTATCTATCTATGTCCTGTTAAAAGCTGCGTTAGATAAAAGTTAGTCTCCCCAAAAGTTCTACTCACCCAGGGCCCTATGTCCGGGACTATGCGTCTAGTCCATATGACGCTGCCAGGCGTCAGCACATCACTCGTCTGACTGTCTCGTTTGTCATTTCCTCTACTTTTTCCAGGGTTTTTTTGTACCGCTTCCACCGCAATGTCGTCTGCGAAGCCAACGAAGCTGCAGCCGGCTGGTGTGTCCAGTCATGCCATCTTACATGACGTTCCACAGAAGCGGGCCGAGAACAGAACCCTGTGGAACGCCTCCTGTAACTTGCCGTCGTTTTTGTCCCGTCGATGTGTCGAACATCTGTTTTTAAAGTAGCTAACTACTAGGCTCACCAGGTACTCAGATACAACAAGTCTGGAGAGGGCGGCGATGATGTTTGGCCACCATGCAGAGTTGAAAGCATTTTTTACGTCTAGTGTAGTTACCAGGCAGTACTTCTTGGTGCCACCGTGCCATCTCTTCCCAGCTATGGCTTCGCGGGCTTTACCCTCCACTACTCTGATCGCGACGGTTGTGCTTCCCTCTTCCTAAAACCGAACTGAAGCTCAGATAGTCCCTGTAGGCTGTCGATTTTAGCTTCTATCCAATTTGATTCGCTCGAACAGCTTCCCCGTTACGCTGATCATGCACAGAGGCCTGTATCCAGCCGGGTCTTCGGGGTCCTTCCCAGTCTTTGGTAGAATCACGAGCCTCTGGAGCTTCCAGCCCGTAGGGAAGAGTTGCTCCTGCGGGCATTGGTTAAAAGTCTTCGCTATCGCTTCCGGGTATGTTGTGGCTATCGTCCGGACTGCTATGGCGGGTATACCGTCGGGCCCCGGCGCTTTGCTGGTCTTCATGCTCTTAGCCGCATTTAGAAGCTCTTCCGCACCGATCTGTGGAGGTGTGGGGATCTAACGATGTTGAGGCACGTAGGTTAGTTCCTGTTGTGTGGGGAACAGTGAATCTATGATTTTTGACAATAATTCAGGACAGGTGGGCATTACCTTGCGCGCTAGCTTGCCCATCACCATTTTGTAGGCTAGGCCAAAAGGCTGCAGGTCAGACTCCTTGCAGAGGTCCCTTCAGCAGTTCGTTTTGCTGCGTTTGATCTCCTTGGTGAGATGAGACCGTTGTTGGTGGTAGATAGCGTGTGCTTTTGCATCTTCCTGGGCTGCTTGAGGGTCTTGTGGTCTCCGTCTTGCCCTTTTCATGCTCATCTGGTAGCAGCGTCTTGCGTGGCTCCCTTTCCGCAGATCCGCTATATCCTGCGACCACCAGTGCACTGGTTTTCGCTTCCTTCCTCCCATTTGTTTCTTTACCATGGCGGCGTCGCAGGCAATTTCCATTGCTGTCCCTAGAAAATTTGCCCGCTGTTCTGCATTTCCGTGGATGTTTTCGCTGCTTTGCCGGAACATGAGGAGCAGGCACTGGGTGTCCATATCCTCCGTTTTCCAAGCTGTGCGCCTTATGGTTTTGGTCCGTCTGGTGGGTCCGTCGTCTATGCAGCACGTTATGGCCCGGAGGTCGCTATGCGTATATTCACTTGCGACTTTCCAGGTGGCACACCGTGCTAGTTGGGGGCTGGCAAATGTGACGTCGATTACCGATCCACGGGCACCCTTAGTGTACGTTTGGGTAGTTCCGTTGCTCAGGAGCACCATGCTCAGGGTCGCGAACACGTCAAGTAGGACGCTTCCGCGTGCGTTCGTCCTCGTGCTTCCCCACTCGGTAGCCCATGCGTTGAAGTCGCCAGCAATGATCACTGGGGAACGACTGCGTGCATCTTCTGTTAGGTCTTCGAGTATGTTGGCGAACTCTTCCAGTCGTATGCTCGGGGCAATGTAGCAGCTGTATATGTGGATGCCGGCAATCTTTGCTCTGACATACCCAGCTGACGTATGACGGTCGCTTAGGCCTTGTGGCGGAGTTCCACAGCTTCAAATCGCTCCTCCGTAAATTGCGTTTGCATTTTGTATCCATACGTCTGGTTGCATCGCTAGGTGTGACTCACTCAAGATGGCGACGTCGACATCCTCTTCTCTCACTGTCTGCATGAGCAGGTCCTGTGCCGCTCTGCAGTGGTTCAAATTAAGCTGCAGGAACTTAATTTTGCCATTTGCCATTATTGTGTGTGTTTTTTGCTGCCTTGACATATATAGGGCATGCCCTACTTAGGGTTCCAAGTGCCGTACCTTCTAGTCCTGCTCTTGTGCATAAGATGCAGGCGGGCATCTGCTTACAGTCCCTCGAGCTGTGCTGCGTACCTCCGCAGTTGAAACATTTGCTCGTTTCGTCGTGGCTACTCCTGCATCTTGCCGCGATATGGCCAAATGCTAGGCATTTGAAGCATCTCCTGGGTTCGTTCTTCTGCCGGATTCGGCATATCGACCATCCAATGCGAACCCTCATGCCCTCATGCAGCAACTTGTCCGCTGTTTCTCTGGGTAGGAGGATGTTCGCCGTCAGCGTTCCGCGGTATGCTT